AAACGTATAAAAATTTTAACATTAAATAAATAACTAAAAGTATGAATTCACGTTCTACTATAAAATGCAGTGACCATTCACACTATATTTAAGTTTGCGGTACCAAAAAAAAAAAAAAACTTAAAATTATTCAAAAAAGCTTTTTTGTATTTTAACATTTATCGACTATTTCTAAAAAGTGTTTCTTTTTTTTGCTAAAAAATAAAATTAATATAAAAAGAAAAATATTTCTAAAAGTGTTTTTCAAACTGACTAAAACCTCTTAAAAAATTTTTAAATTTAACTTCTTAAAAAAAAGGAAAAAATTACAACAAAAATGCATAGAACAAAACAAGTTTCACCAGTTTGAACAAAATTATAAAATATTTTTGCATTCAAAAAATTTTTACGAAAGATTCACTCTTTTGATTTCAAATTTAAGTTATTTTTGAGTTTAAAATCCAACATTTTTTGTAAAAACCATGCTGCAGTGAGTAATTCTTCTAAGAAGTTACGCAGTTTATTTAAAAAGTAATTTTAAAAGTAATATAGGAAATTATATATAAATTGTGCCCTATAAGTAAAATAATCAAATTATGGTTACCGTATTTGCAACATAAACTTTGCGAGAAATACAATAGAATCTTGATGTGATGAACGAATTTAGTCCCAAAATTAATTTTTCTTGTGATAGAACGATTTTGAGAATTAAAAAAAAACATAGTAGGTATTTGAAAAACAAAAATAGAATCTAAATTTATTCTAAATATAATCAAAAACTTTATTTTTTATTTTTAATTATTAATAGAATCGTAAATTTATGTTAATACGCGAAGCCAATATTAAAATCATTAAGAAAAATTAAAACAATACAAAATTTAATTTGTAATTAACATTTTAGAATAAAGGATCTGAATGAAGTACTTTCATGATTTTTAAATTGCATTTTAATAGAATACACAATTTATCTTATGTATTGAATTGCTGAATTGTTCATCAATACACAGCATTATTACAACTTTTAAGTCAAGATATTTTAAAAAAATTTGGCATAGTGATAAGGTGTTTATATATAAATTGTATATTTTGCACATTTTCCTTTCCATTCTTAACATAAATGTAAAAGATAGGATCGATCTATAATGATTGGCATTCTTCTTATAGGTATAAAAATGTTTTGCTTTCTTTACTAAATAATTTATTATAATTTTGAATTTATAAGCCAATATAAACGTAATGTGTACAAATGCGATGTTAACCAGCTGACAAATTGAAATAATCTCTTAGAAAAGGTTAAAATGTTAAAATTATATTTTTTATATGCATTAAATGTAAATAATGAAATGATTCATAAATGACAATAATTATCATTAATATTTTATATTAGTTATTCTTAAAAAAGAACAATTTTATAATTAAAGTCATAAGTAATTAATTTAAAAAAAATTATAACATTTAAATTATTTGTCAGACCGCAAAAGATTAATTCTTATCAGAAAAATGAAAAAAATTGAAAAAAAAACATTTTTTTTTTCATTTTCACAACTTAATTATCAGCATTAGATCATGTGTCTTCAATCTAAAATATATGAGGGAGAGGCGCTAGTAATTTATTTTATTTTTCAATCATAGGTTGAAGTAGGTACCTACTACGATTATAGGTTGCGACAAACATATAAAATGTTTAATTTGTGTTACTATCGTAAGTCTAAAATTTATTCATCGATAAGTTTAACATTTAGTATTCGAACATAAAAATTAGCTGATTTTTTAATTATTCGGATACTAGAACATATTTATTATACATGCACATAGATATATGTATGTATGAAACTTAATTTATTTTAGTTTTATATCAAAATCCCTCCTATTCGATATTTATTCCAATTTTGCGGGCAATATACGTATTGACTTTATATTTGATCATATTCGACAAATTTTGGAAATTTCTAATTCTAATTAAGAAGTAGATACAAAAAAATTTTAAAAAGTTTACTAGCCCAATGTACAGACCTAATAATTAATTAAGGTGAGTAATTATATTTTCTTTCGATTTATATAAATATCGCCTATAAAAATAAAATAAATAATCAACATGTGCATAAAGATGACGTCACCATTTAAAAAAAGAAAATACTGTTTAAAATTAAGTATGAATACACATTGATAGACAGGTATACCTGTACAGGAGTTAAGCGAATATATATTCATAAGAATATCATACGTGTTAAATAGTAAGTAACTATTGCGTATACATAATAAGTATTCATACCTGTAGGAAAACAACAATGGTCCAACATAGACTGTATTTATACGTGTATACAATAAGTATTCATACCTGTACGAAGTCAAGTACTAACACCTAGCAGAATTTCGAATGTCACAGCAAATGGCAATGTAAAACTACTATTTTCACTTTTTATATCATAAAAATAAAATAATTTTATTGATGCTATTATTTTTATTTGACTCATTGAAACTAAAATACCTACTTATGTGCATAACATACTTTATATACATATAAAATTGAGTTTGAATGAACAATCATTTCAGAAAAAAATAAATAAAATTACTCATTACCTAAAAAAGATTATGTAGCTATCGTTATTTTGAAATGCAAGCATAATATAAATTTATTATGAAAAATTCAATTGACAAAAAAAGGCATAAAAAACAAAAACCGACTCTTAAATACAAAATAAATCCTAAAAAGGAGGCAAAACCTAGTTCACCTTGATCTGAATATTATTGCACACAGTACACATATGTATGTATGTACAAATTAGAAAAAATTTAATGAACTTGAGAAAAAAAATCTAATGTGGAATTAAGACTGAAAAATTGCAAAATTAAATATTAAAATTAAACCGTATTTTATTTTCTGCTATCAATACGTATAAAAATTTATATCTAAAAATATGCATTTTAATATTATATTGGTGTTATACACACGTACATATGTATGCATAAATGTGTGTGCATATAAAGAATAAACAAATATATTTCAGGTCTGAATTTTTAATTCAGAACTAGTAAATTTTTACTTCTGATGTGGCATAGTAGAACTGCAAAAATTTATCCAATATCCCATTTCCCAATCCCAAATTTTTGTAGATTCTTCTAAAAAATTTCTCCTTAAACTGCTCGACGTACGTTAAACAAAAAAAATAAAAGAAACATAAAAAGTATTATACACACATTAAAAAAATGTCCGCCATTTTGCAAATATTATACACACAAAAACCGGTGTTTTTTATTTCTTCTTTTTGTTCTTTTCGAATTGGGTATTTTTAACCATATTTCGTCATCGGCAGGTCATTCATTCTCTATTCAATATGCTCTTTAAGAATTCTCCGAATCTCAATTTTATATGATTTATTTAAAATTTAAGCTACTTATATTAGTTTTTTAATTATTTAACCATTTTCTCAAATATATGTACATACGTACATACCAGTTAGTTTAAAATAAAAAAAAAGAAGCAAAACAAAAAAATGAATCTTCTAAAAAGGTGAAAAAATCGATTTTCTGTGTAGAAAAAGTCGTTAAATGAAATTCGCGTATTCTTTACGTCATATTTGTATATGAATATAAAAATAATGTTTTTTAAGTGTGGTAGTTACTACCGCTGAATTACTGAATAAAATCAGAAAACCTGAAAACAGTCAAAAAAAAAAAAAAAAATAAGCTGTATAAATTATATCTCGTGGTCACACACAAACCGTATAATATACATATTGTTCGTATGTACATACATACATACATTATACAGTGCAGAGTACTGCTATCAAGAAATTTTCAAAAATTCGTTCTATATTCTTTCTTAATCTCTAATAATTTCTTTTTTTTTTCTTAAATAATAAACATTCATAGGCACATATGTATAACGATGCACATGCATGTTCAAAGGTTTATTAATTTGTAACTTTATGCTAAATTACTCAAAGACTGAATAATTAAATTACAGTCTGGATAAAAATTTAGAGGGATTTCATGAGTTTTTTATTTAGCCAAAATAATCTTGCTATATTTAATCCACATTCCACATACGAAACGCGTTTAAGAAAGTACATACATACACACATGCTTATGTAGTATTCGACACATTTGTTTCACACAAAATTAGTTCTTTTCTATAGAAATAGAATAATCAAGCAACAATGTTGCTATCATATAATACCTAACCAACGTGGATTTTCCTCGGCGAACTACTCACCACTTAATTCTTTTTTATTACTCTTCAAAAAGCAGTCGACTATTTGAATTTAAAAGTCGACTCAAATTTTTTTTTATTTTACACAAATGCAGTAACACAAATAGAAAAAAAAAGGATGAAAGAGATAAAGGAAGGTTTAATTTTCCTCTATATACCTTGAACTCTTTCATTCACTTGTATTTCAGCAATAATAACCAAAAATAACATTTTCAAAGATACTTTTTTGCTACCTATATACTGCTGCTACATAATACTACAGTAGAGGCTTTTATATTTTTTGTATTACGCTGAATTTTTTATTACTCAGTCTTCTTGATAATAAATATATACTTGTATGCATATACATATGTATACAAATTACAAATGGTTTATTGCTCGCTCATCGTTGATTCTTTCTTTACTTACTGATTATTTTTTTCTTTTTACTTTTTCATAAGCTACAATAATTTTTGTCTGTAGACATTTTCTTCTAAATATGGATACCTATTCTACTAATATAGAAGTGATTCAGAAAAGAAAGAAAAAAAAATAGACCGGCGTGTTGGTCACACCCTTGAACTTGCTTTGGGTAGATCCAGACATTTTTAACTATATTTAATTTTATATTTTAAAATATATATATTAGAAAATTTCTGTAACAAAATCCCTAAAAAATACATTCTTCAATTTAATTCTTGAATATTCAACATAAAATATGTACAAATATATATATATACATACATACATACATACTAAGGCATAGCGTATTACACGAACCAAAAGCCTTCGTTCATAAATGTATATGATAAATTTGAAAGTTACTAACCTCGAATCCTTTGGATTGGGCCCAAATGTTACCATCGTGTCCAGCGATAGCAGCTTTCGTCACACAATTGGAGGCCATCAATTGGTTATCTACGTAATCCTGCCAACTCATGGTTTTTTAATTTTTTTTTTTAAATTTACACAAGAATATGAGAAACTTTTTAAATTTAAATAAAAAGCAAAATTTTTTTGAATTGATTAATTTTTAAAAAAACACTAGATTTGATTTTTCTTTTTTTTTTTTGCTTTGTGTAGGCAAAAACTATTATATTTAAAATACACTTATAATTTCCAAAATAAAAAGATTTTTTCGTAAAACTGCAATTTCTTTTTATCTCAAATCACATAAGAGATATTAATTTTTTTATAATCTTCCAGCTTTCTTCTGACTTGACATAAAAATTTTACTGTCTGCCTTTTTCTTTTTTTTTCTCTTTTTGTTACTAACCACAAAAATTGGAAGCGAAATGTGAACGTGAAATTCCTTTTTTAACTTAACAAAAAATACTTTTTAAAAAAAATTATTTATTAAAAAACAGATTGGTGATTTTATTATTAAACAAAAATTTTAAAATAATTTTTTCCGGCTTTGAATTTATATATGAATGGAAACCTTCACGATTTTTTGCAAAATGCAATACTACACAAGAATAAAAAAAATCGACCGACTCCGATCCGACAAAATCACCGAATAAAATAAAAAATTAAAAATGGAAACGGCAAACAATTTTTCAGCAAAAAAAAAAGAAAAAAATTAAAAACTTCAAAAAGCAAATGAAGCAAAAATTGTAGTAGTAGTGCATAAAGAAAGTAAAAGAGAATGTGTTGGTGACATTTAACGAAAGACGCGTCAAAAATTTCAAAAAAAAAAAAGATGGCGGTTTCAAATGTGATGAGCTGCCATTGTTACAGTTTATCCTATTTTTAAATTTTAAATAATGTGGTGACCAAATACTAATTGATCCAGTTGTCCGATCACAGATATGTAAGCTTTCCTCCTCCAAAATTGGTACGGATTTGGTTTTCAAAATATTTTAGAAGAAATTTTAAAGTAATCGAGATCGTTAATATACACCATTAATAGAGTAACACTGGTGAGGTGACCAGCTGAGAACCAAGTCAAGTGTCGTCACGCCGTCTTTGTTGAGAGAACAAAGCTTAACAATAGAACTGCCACAACTATACATTTTATCATTTTTTTATTTCCTTTTATTCATTCAATTAATTAATAATTCATAAAAACTACAAAAATTACAGTTATTAAAAATAACACATAATTACATACATATATGTACATATAACTGAAAGTGTATTAAAAAACAAAAAAATATTTTGACAATTCAAGTTTAAAAGGTGAATTTAATTTACTTCAGTTTATCTTTACAAAATATCATATTTACAAATTAAAATATCAATCACAATTAAAATATCACACTGATTATAGTGACCGAATGTTAAAATAGGCAAGTTGATGGTCAGAAAATTGCATTATGTACACGAATGGCGTAAAATGTAATGACATTTATTTTGTGTCAGCCATTAATGCAAACGCCGTCGTGTAAACACAGGTATTAATAATATTACTTGAATAATATGAGCCTTCTTTAATTTCACATATTTAATTCCGAAACGGCCATTCAATTAAGAACAATTTGGACAACCGGAAATCCTCCAAATATCGAAGTTCAGATTTGACAGTTCCCAACAAAAATTTCACCCATTTCCGATACGCCAAACAATGTAAATATGTTAAAGCTCTTATAACTGAATTATTCTATATTGCCTGAAAATTTTAATATTTTCAACAATCTTGAATCACTTGACTTCTAATAATTTCACAAAAAACCAGCTTCGAACTTATTTTTACATTTTTTTCTTTCTATTAACCATTAAGTAAATGAAAGTAAGTAATGATAGCAACTTTACGGATCGACAAAAGTTTTTAAAATTGCTATGATCTTTTGGGTTATCAAAATTTTTGCATTTTGCAACAGCAAAATTCAGTCTATCATATTTTCAAGTGATAGGGTATATTTTACGAAGCTTGATATTCAAACGCTAGTGTAAAAAATAAAAAAAAGCCCGCCTACGCACAAGATTAATGTACTGCACCCTGTTTTAAGTATGAATAATAATTTTAATGCAATGTGACATTTTAATTGTCAATAATTTTTATAGTATCTACATAACTACATAATGTACCTATAAAAAAACAAAAATATTCCTTCAAAACTTTAAGAACACTAATTTTCAAACAGTGTGATCGAGAAAGGTATTCAACAATATACACTCCCGTCAAGCCAAACTCGGACACCTAGGAAATTAAAATACAAACCGAAAAAAAATTGTCTTTCAATATTGGTAGAAAAAAAAATATTCCCAATTAAAGTTTGTTTATTATAGTTAAAAAAAATATAAAAAAAATTTTGAATTCAGTTCATTAATAAAACAAAAAATAATAAAACCAAAAAAAAATTCAAAAATAACCGTCAAGAAAAACTTGGACACTTTGTAGTTTTCTTAGAAGTTTGTCAATGGGATAATGCGAGTTCCATTTTAAACATGTAAAATTTATATGTTAAACGAAATATTGAAAGTTTATTTCATTGTTTCAAAGTATTTTAAGGTCCAAAGACAAATTTATTTGAAAATGAGTCGTCAAAGAGGGACAAACCGCAATAGATGTTACAACATTTATAATTAAGTACTTTGAGGAAGGGAAATCAATTCGTGAAATATCGAAATTAGTTGAAAAAAGTCATTCAACGGTTCATGATATTAAAACGTTATAAAGAGTCAAAGACAGTAAAAAATAAACAAAAGTTGCTTCCATCGCCAAAAAGGATTTAAGAAAGAAATCAAGCACTACAACTATAAAAAACATGCTATACAAAGCTGGTCTATGAGATATAAAAGCTAGAAAGAAGCCCTAGATAAACAAGCTTAATGCATAAAAAAAAAAAATTAGCTTTTGTAAAAGAATTTGTGACAAAAGATTTTTTCTTTTGGGAAAACGTAATATTTACTTGTGAAAGTAAATTTATTATTTTTGGAATTGATGGAAATCCTTGTGTGGAGAAAACCCAATACAGAGCTAAATATAAAAAATTTACGACCAACCGTGAAACATGGCGCTGACTCATTAATAGTTTGGGGCTCTTTTTCTGCATCTGGGCCAGGAACAATTCATTTTATTGAAAGAAGAATGGACCAGAATGTTTATCTAGAAATTCTAAAAAAAAACTTCCGGACGCGGTTGCAAAATCAGCTCTTGAACAACCACAAAAAGTGGTTGTTCTACCAAAACAATGACCCAAAACATAAAGCTTATAAAATACGTACCTGGTTTAGTACTTTTCTAAATTTTTTCCTTTCACCCGTTCTCAAGAATATAAAAGCTTCAAATAAACATTTTTCAATTGGATTTGGAAAGGTCTTACAAATAACATGTCAAATTATTTTATTATTTGCGTATTTTTAGAAATACAAGCATTCGAACTACAGAAAAATCCAAAATTTTTCTTTCTTTTTTTTTATATTTCTTTGATCTACAATTTTATAGGAAATTTTTCGAAGAATCAATAAAAGTATTTTGTAGAATTTTTTCGAGTTTAATAGCAGTTTTCTAAAATTTTTTTTGAAAACTTTGTATCTCACGAACCGTTAATATTTGATAGCTGCTCTGGAAAAAGTTTTATTTCGATCCTCTAAGTATATATAGTTGCGTACCTTTCCGACTCATCCTGTATGTGGATAGAATTACATATCCTTAAATGTCGCATACCTCCTTTTTTGCGGTTCTATTTTAATTTCAAAGGAGATTGATTATTGGTTTGTTTGAATCGGCATGCAATTTTTATACCTGAGTACCTGAAGTCGCCTTGTAAGAAAAAAGGTTCTTTGAATTCAATTTTTTCTCGGTGAATTCTCTATCTTAAAAAAAATTATACTAGATTAATTTGAGTTGTACATGATAAAATTTTTTTAATATTTTCTCCATAATTTCTTAAGCGTATCATTTGAGATGGGACGCCTAAGAAAATGTAGGTGCTTGTTAGTTTGGAAAATAAAAGTTAGTTACATATTAATTTTTATGGTCGATTAAGAGTCAAGAGTACACAAATTAAAAAAAAATATACATATATATTTTTCGTTTATATTTTAATTTTTTTTTTTATTTTTCTATTTTTTAGCGGATAATCGCGTTTTTATCGCTTGTAATTAAATATTTATACAAGTGATTAAAAGGTATTATACGGAAAACTTTTGTTTTGGAAATTTCGAAAACTTTTAAATCATTTAAATTATTCGATTTAAAATGTCTCCTTCAATTTAATATAAATATTATAAATTTTTCTATTTCTATTAATTGGAGGACGTGGGCGAATATATGTATTAAATTTAAGAGAATGAAGATGTAATCGATAATGTAAAATGTTATTTGATTTTTTTTCTATCTAAATCAATATTGCAGTTAACAAGAGCATTGGTAGTGTCACTGATAATGCAAAAAAACAAATGTCACGTAATTAATAATGTTAATTTTTAAAATTCTTTGGGATTTTTGTAATAAAAAAATTTCAACTGCAAATTTTGTTTTTGAAAATTTTGAAGAGGATAAATTAGTTTTATTTAATAAAATTTAGTTCGAAATATTTTCAAATCAAAATTAATTTGTTGCTAAAACAGTTGTTAACCAGTTGAACGCAAAATTTGTGTACGAAAATTGATATGCAAGTTTTTTTGAGTTCCTCTTTTTTAGCGTCAATTGTTGATTCGCAGTTGACTTTCAGATGAAATTGTTGTCCACTAGCATTTGACAATATCGATTACATCTTATTTAAATGGATTTCCAAAATAAAATTCGGAAAATATACATATGTGTACGTATATACATATGTACATTTTTGAATTTGAACTAAATTCGAAGATAACTATAAAACTACTTTTCTAAAGAAATTATAATTTTCTAGGCAATAATTTACTTTTCTTCTTTTATTTACCATTTATTCAATTTTTACGTACAAAAAAAAAAAATCAATTTTTTTAAAAACAAAATTTACATTTCTTTTTACCTCTTCTAAGTTGAAATTTTCTTATTTTATTTAAAATACGATTATTTAAATTCAAAAAATTAAAAAAAAATTTATAACTAATTATTTTCATGAACTATATATTATTAAAATTAAAAAAAAAAGCAGAAATATTTCCTTGCTCTCCCCAAATACATATGTAAATGGGAAAGTAAAAATTACTATTTTAATAAGTTTTTGGGTAAAAATATTTTCTTTTTTACACTTACGTTTTCGAAAATATTCATAAAAAAAAATTCTATTTTTAATATTTTCACGCAATTTTACACTGTTGAAAAATTTAAACATATTATTAAGAAAATTTTCAATATCATTTATTAGGTTTTCTTTTTCCTTATCCAACAATGATAAATAAATCGAAGTTAAAAAAAAATGTGTGTAGTTTACAAAACTTCAATTTAATTTCTACTTAATCAAAAAATTGAAAATAAGATTGATAATCTAAAAAGAAATTTAAAATTTAATTATTTTATTTATTTTATAATTCTTCCAAACCCAATTTAAAACAAATAAGTCGATTTTTATTTTCAGTAAATATGAATTCATATGAATTTCTTTTATATAATTTTTTTATTGCTGTTGTTTGCAATTTTTTGAAAAATTTATTTTAATAATAAAAATAACTCTTATTAAAATTAAGATTTTTGTGTTATGCAATGAGCTGGGGCTTCTGTTATATCAAGTATTTCGATACGGAAAATTAAAAATAACGAAAATAATTAAAAAATTTCAAAATATAATTATAAAATTTCTACTAAAAAATATATATATATGTAGCTATATACAAATATTTTCTTTTTCAAAATGCAGGACACAAGAAATGTGTTTGCTGATCCTATATAATTAAAATAATTATGTAGGTAAAAAAATGATTTTAAAATGCTTAGGACTTTTTGTTGCAAAATATGTATTTTTATATTAGAAAATAATTTTATTGTAATATTGGGTTTAGAAAATAAACGGCGATAATATATATGTAATATAAAAGTGTGTTTTATTTTGATATAATTGAATTTTAATAAAAATAAATTTTAATTTGAGTTTTTGTTGTTCTTTAGTTAATTTATTATGAATGATTTATTTTAGCAGAATGTTTTTTTATTTTTTTGTTTTGTAGATGTGAATTTGCTTAAAAGGTTATTTCGCTTTTTTTTTAATTTTATAATTAATTTATTTAAAAATGGTTTTGTATGTATGTAATTTCTTTGTTTTCTTAATTTTTTCTCAATCATATGGAAATATTTTCTTTTACTTTGTTATTTAATTTTCGTAATTTCTTTTCTGTCGCAAACAAAAATATTTTTTTTTTGATTTGTTAAATTTATTATTAATTTGTTTTTAATTTTTTTTTAGTATAGTTGTTTTGAAAAGTTATTTTTTCTTTGTTTTTGTTTTTTGAAATAATTAAATTTAAATAAGAGTTTTTTTTTCTTATACTTTTTCTTTATTTTTTTATTATTTTTAAATAAATTTTGTGTTTTTTTGTAATTATAATTATAACTGCATCAGAATGCTTGTTGAATTATTTTGTTTTCTCCTTTTCTTCCTCCTTCGTGTAATTTTCTCTTCTGCTGCTTCTTTTTCTTTTAATTTAAATTAAATCAGCTATATTTGCTGGCATTTCTTCGATAGTTGTATGGTAAAATTGTTCAATATCTTTGAGGGTACGTTTATCATCTTCGGTAATGAAATTGATTGCAACACCTTTACGACCAAAACGACCACCACGACCGATTCTTAAAAAAAGAAAAGAGAAAAAAAAATTTAGATACATATATTTCTGATAAAACTAGTGAAATCCTGCAACAAAGTACAAAAATCTGAAATGGTTTAGTTAAACTTCACTTTTGCACATATTTCTTCCCAAGTCGTCAACATTTCTATAATTTTTTTTAAGTTTACTAAAACATCTTTTATAATTGGTATATTCAATGAGCAAAAAAAATTTCTAGCAAAGAGACTTATTCCACTTCTATAATCTCTTCTTTAAGTGGCTTAACCACGTTTCATTACGTTTTAAATCCATAAAAATAATCGTACAATTTTTTATGTAAGCTAATTTTTTTCGTTCAATTTGAATATGTTGTCTTAAAAACAATCGCTTTATTAATTACTTAGTTTCTTTTTTACGGATTTGTAAATTCACCCTTCAGAGTTATGTCGGATGAGATTCTGGTATACGGTTGTATAGTACCTCAGAATTATTGCAAAAATTTATGCAAAATCAATTTTTTTCTACATCAATTTTTTTGGAAAAATCATTATTGGAATTAAGCATAAATAAAAATTTGTATTTGTAAATATTTAATAATAATCTTTATGGTAGCAAAAGTTTATAAAAATTTGAAAATCAATTTCACCCTAAATTTATACTAAGAGCTTACTACATACAATATGTATGTATTTATTAAACTGTTAAACAATAAAATACATTATGAATTTTAGATTAAAAAATTACGAAATTATAAAGTTAATTATTTACACTTACCTATGAATGTAATTTTCACGATTTGAGGGCAAATCATAATTAATAACTAAGGAAACTTGTTGAACGTCGATACCACGAGCCAACAGATCTGTTGTAATTAACACCCGAGAAGACCCAGAACGGAACTGCTTCATAATTACTTCGCGATCTTTTTGTTCCATATCGCCATGCATTGCTGATACAGTAAAATGATAGTTACTCATTTCTTGGGTTAATTGATCGACCTAAGAATTTTGAATCGTTAAATAAAATTTTTCAATATAATTCATTTCGGTTTTACCTTGCGCCTTGTATTGCAAAAGATGACCGATTGCGTGATTGAAAGTGTATCATACAAATCGCACAATGTACCCAATTTCCAAGTTTCTTGTTTTACATTAACAAAGAATTGTTTAATACCTTCCAAAGTTAATTCCTCTTTTTTCACCAAAATTCTAATTGGGTCTCTCATAAAACAATTTGTTACTTCCAAAACATCAGCTGGCATTGTAGCTGAAAGTAAAATAACTTGTACATCACCTGGAAGTAAACGGAACACATCTTCAATTTGATCCCTAAAACCACGCGATAACATTTCATCAGCTTCATCCAATACAAACAATTTTATGGCATTAGTACGTAAACATTTACGGTTGATCATATCGAATACGCGGCCAGGAGTTCCTACAACAACATGACATCCAGATTCTAGTTTACGTACATCTTCACGCACATTTGTTCCACCTATACATGCATGACATTGTGCTTTCATAAATTCACCCAATGATAATACAACACGTTGAATTTGTGTTGCCAATTCACGGGTAGGAGCCAAAATTAAAGCTTGACAATCACCGATACTTGTATCAATTTGTTGCAATATTGCAATAGAGAATGTTGCCGTTTTACCAGTACCTAAAAGAAAATATAATAAAAAAAAAATTATATAATTATAAAAAATTCTTAAAAGATCACGAAAGAAAAAAATATAACGAATTTATTACTGTTTCTAAAAACGATTTATACACTGAAAATGTAATTTATTTTCATTTTCAGTTATGTTAAAAAATGTTATAGATTTTTATTCTAGTCCGCATTTTTAACGTCTATTTTGAACGATATTTATAAAAAGACGTAGTCTATGAGACATTTTTTATTTTGAACATTCTTATGTAATAAAAAATTTGCTACAATTACGTTAAAAAACTTATTTGTATGTATTTTTTTTAATATTTCCAAGTATTGATAACGATTCATTGTTATTTAAACATTTTATTTTAAGTGTTTAGGTATTTACATATATAAATATTGTTATAGAGTTGCATAAAAGTGTTACAATTCTCTTTTGAGATTAATCATGTCATGATAACAAATTTGAAAAACTTTAAGTAGAATGCTTAACTTTAAGTAGAAGATCAATAGATTTTATGAGAAAAAAAAAAATTTTAATCGTCCATAATGTACACGTCATACAATACAAATATATTTGTAAATAATAATAAAAAAAACATACATATTTTAACAAACAAAAACTTATTTTTATCTTAAGGCTTATTTTAATTAATTACGTAAACGTAATCGCAACCTTGACATAATTTCGAAAATAAGGAAGCAATATTTTAAAAAAGTTAATTTCATTTTATTCCTTTTATTATAATAAGTATTTGTTCACATTGCCTTCTTATTTATAGTTCACCCCCACTTTATTTATTTAAAATTTGACCTAGAATAAAAAAATTATTCAATTTGATCATTTGAAAATAAATAATTAAAAAAAAACAAAGGAGCAAAAAACAAAAGCTTTTTTCAAAAACTTGATCTTCGATATTTTTGAATATCCCGAAGATCATATTTATTTTTATTAAAATATTGTTTAATAAAAACTTAAATCAATAACGTTGGTTTAAGACTGTTCATCATAAATATTGAAAAAAAAAGACAAAAAAAAACCAAAACACATTATTTTTTAAAGAAAAGAAAAATATATTGGACATATTCCAAAATTTATGGCAATAGTGTTATTATTATTGTTGTTATTCAAACATGAGAAAAAATTAGACAAAATTTATAAAAATCGCTGACAAATTGAACAAAAAAATGTTGTTTTTATGTTATATTAATACTTGTTGATATACAAAGTTTTCCGATTAAATATAAGGTTTATTTCATTTAGTAATTAAAAAAAAAACAATTGTAGTTTAGAAAAAGAAGTAGGAAATACTAGCCCTACATACGTATAAAATTATATAAATAGAAAAAGACGTCTGACAAGTTAATTTGATTTCTTTGCTTTTTAAACGTTTGTAAATTAAAGTACATACCAATCTGCTATAAATTAGACCATGTTCCTGAATGTGAAATGATCCAATTTTTATGTGAACTTCAAATTTCAACTAATAATTTTATTTTGATCTTACAAATTATAATTTTATATTAGATTTTATTTTGAGATTCCCGGTTTTAACTACATATCTCATTTCCATATTATAAATTTTATTATATAGTGATTGATTTAAAACGTTTAAAATACAAAAAAAAAAGGAATTCAAACATGCAGTTAACCTAATTTTAGCTTAAAACAATAGATATTTATATAAACGCAATGCAAAACAATAACTGAACAATGCAAAAATAACTACGTATTCTATTCTATAAAATTAAATCCGCTGTCATACTGATTTCACTCTATTGCGAAAAATTAGGCATTTTTATGAACAAATTATGTTAGTAAATTTGTTTGTAAACACAAATATAGCGAAGTTTTCGTTATATATCGTGATGTACGGCGTTTATGAGAAGTTCTAATTTGTATTTTAAATTTTCTCACATATTATTGCATTTTTTTTATAAAATAATTTATTTTTGTATAATAAAAATATGAATTTGTATCTTTTTTTCATATTAAAATAATAATAATATTTATTTTAACCACGGATATAAAAAGATTTTTTTTTTACTGTAGTCCAGCGTTATATTGTTAACTTTCATAAATACGAATAATTAAACAACACCAACTGGACAAAATGCTAATATGTAAAATGCATTATGTACCTACCTATATAATCTATAATCAAACTTTTGCTTTGTACTATTAGAAATGCTTCACTATAACCAATATATTAGAAAAATTTTATGGTACTAACAAAAGTATTTTTCAACTTCTGATTAAACTTTTGAAAATTTCTACTTTAATAGGTACTTACTCCCCACAATTTGTGAGACCTTGAACTTACAAACAAAATTGGAGAATATTTTACTTAATCAATATTTAAAAAATTATATGTATGTATATATGCAGATATTTGGAAAAAAATCTTATGTACTATACAAAGGCTACATTTTTATTTCGTTTCAAAAATAAATATTTCAACTGGAAAAAAATAATTTATTTTGTCATAAAACACTAATTATTTTAAACTAACTTGATTTTAAATTACCTCTTCCTTTTATGAAAAGCCATTGAAAATTCTAATTGTTGCACTCACATAAATGGATACATACATTTTGCTTATTAGTGTAAAAAAAAATACTAGAACTTGAATATTAAAATCCGAAAAATTCATACATACATAAATACATATTAAAATTTATTGCTGATGAATTGAAATAATTTTGATTTGATTTTATGAAGTATTAACACATAATATATTATATTAAAATGTGTATGCACATACGAGATAATATAGTATATAAGTACACATTGCAAAAATTATTATCCGCCATTTATTTTTGATTCACTAGGTTTTATACAGATTTTAAAGTTCCATCAAAGTAAAAATCAACATTTAACCTTCCTACCTAACGGAAGGAACTTCTGAGAAGCCTAAGTACTTAATTATATAATTTAATTTGACAATTTATGTTTTAATTATACTTACATTATATTATAAAATAAAATACAGAGTTCGAATATAATCCTTTAACTAACCTGACTGAGCTTGAGCAATTACATCATATCCTCGCATACATGGAATAATAGCCCGTTGTTGAATAGCTGAAGGTTTTTCAAAACCGTAACCATAAATTCCTCTAAGTAATTCCTCTTTTAATTGCATATCATCGAAATTGTCATACACTTCTTCCCAATTCGATTCAATTACGCTCTCCGGCTCCACATTTGCTGATCTATTATCATGCTGTGGTTCTTCTGATGAAGTTTCGTCACGTCGATCACGATCACCCATCTAAAGTTAAATATAGAAAAACTTATATTTTTAGTTATTCTTTAAAAGAAAGCGAACTGAAATAAAAAAATTTTGTATCTCTTAAATTATGTTGAATTAATTTTTTTTTCAATTTATAAGTGATTAAATATATTCTTACTTCAATGATTAATTATTGAAAAATAATCATTGTTTTAGCTGAGGCATTTCTAGAGATAAAACTATTCATTTCGAAATATCGATTGGTTTGCTTACTACATACTTATATTAGTAAGGATAGGTATATGTATGTATGCACGTAAAATAACATACATGTAGTGCAATGCATATTCTTTTATATGTACATTTTTGCAAGTGATTTTCCCGGTAAATTACCAATTTTTTTGAATTTCTACAAATTATTTTTAAATGAATGCCAAAGAAAAATTTTTATTCTACTTTAAATTTTTTTTAAAGAAATAATCAAATATTTTATCAACTTATGAGCAATTTTGTTATTTGCCGAAAATACGTCAATTTTCTATAAGTACAAAATATTATAGCAAATAAAAAGCTTAATTTTTTATTATCCAGTTAAAAACATTTTTTAAATGCATGTTTTAAAAAACAAAAAATATTTCGTAATTTTTTTTTAAATTTTCCTTTAAAATTTCAAAAAAAAAATTAATATAAAAATTTGTAATGGTGTATAACGTAGTTGGTAATTTTTTTCTTCGCCATTTATATTTAAGTGGAACATTGAAAAACATTCAATGCCATTATAAAACGCTTTAACTGAATACTAAAAATGTTAGCCTAAAATATGCGTACTTTACTTATTCTAAAATTTTTATTTAATTTTCAATAATTAATTATTTAAAAAAAATAAAACAGAAATTTCAAGTGTGAATTGCAAAATTTATGATTAAAGTTACTGGCTTATTCAGTGGTCTGAGTCACACACAACTCACCACTTTCGAACAACTTCAAACTCAAAATTAGAAAGAAAAAGAAAAAAAAAATAAACCTTTCTACAAATTTGTGATAGTCGGCATTTCAAATAGAAATTTTTGATTAAGCCTTTTTAAACAAAATGAAATTGCAAAAACTTCATTCTTTATTGGAATTTTACAATACAAATTGAATAACGCAAAACAATTATATTTTTCTCTCGCACAGAATAAGAGAAAATTTAAATGTAAAACCTTTCTAACCAAAAAAAATTTCTATTCAACCCTATTGTTTCACCCGTGTCGAAGTTTCAACTTTCTAAGTAAATTTATTTAAAGATTTTAAAATGAATTTTTTGTCAATAAATATTAAAATATTGAGATATTTTTTACACCATTCACTTCAAAATTAATTAAACTATAAATTTGAACAAAAATATTGAATTTATTTTAATAATTAATACTAACATTTCACAAAAAATTGATTTGGCACTTTTACACACGTGCTAATTTTGCTTTAAAACCAAGCGAAGGAACCATATTGGATTTTTTTTTACTGGCCGTCTTTTTGACACACACATATGCAAAAAATGTCGGCCTTTTCCAGCAAAATAAATTTGTAAAAAAGAGACAACAAAATATCACTACCTCTTTCTTATATTATATTTTGTTTTTGTAATAGAAACTAAAAAATGGTTCTTGCGTAGTGGTTTCGTTAAAATATAATTATTATTTGACGAAAGATATTGACAACTTCGAATAATTGTCATAAAAACCATTTACCAGCAAACAAAAAATCCAAAAATCATATAAGATTTTCACATTTTGATTTTTACACATTCGATATATAAATTTTTAGTTCCGGTTGTTATGATGTTTTAAATTCTATACACAATATTGATGTGATTTTAACACACTTTCCGGTTTTCGCTTAAGAGCAAAAAAAAACTTAAAAACATAAAACAGTTTCATAACATTATCAAATTAGGTCTAATTTTTTTTTAAATGTACATATACTTAAATTTACAAATCTGTACTAAAAAAAAAACAGGCTTGGCATAAGATCTAAACTTAAAAATAAAAGTGGGCATAGATAGCTATACAATAAATGTGGCATATTTTACGTTTTTTTGCATATTCATGTCTTTTATACTTTTTTTGAATTTATGTTAAGTTTCTTCGGGAGATCGTATTAAATGTTAACTGAGTTATCTTAGTAAATATATAAAAACCTTCAAAACTGGATTTAAAAAAATTCGATTTAAAACTAATATGAGTAATTTCTTGACAACTTCAAAGAATATCTTAAAATCATGTTAACACTTTAAGCTATAAATACTCGCATAATCAGATGTTGCAATACACTCCAAAAATTTACATTAGCAAAAAAAAATTACGATAAAATATAACTAAGAAGTGGTGCACGAAATGAAAATGCAACTTCAAAGCAACATTTTGAAACTGTATTATTTTCCAATTTTGCACCTATCGCCTGTTAATATTTATGACTTGATAACAGGTTTAGGTAGTTAATTTTTGCAAATACAGCAATTATATCTACCACTTTTTCTGATTTGCATCTTAATTTTGTTTCTTTCGCTGTAAGCCAAAAGATTTTGCAATTGTCAAATTTTGCAGAGCATTGTATTCCGATTATATATTGCAGAGCATTATATTCTGCGTATAACTTTAATCGTATAACTAAGTTAACATCAAAAACAATGAAAATTTTTTTTTTGTTCTGAAAACAGGGGCTTGGATCTGTTGTATTGAATTCATTGTGATTTCCCTACATGAAGTTGGGGACCGTTCATATAATATACGAAACAACTTTTTTTATTTGACAGCTAAATGCCAAATTTGGCATAAAACGCATGTATTTAAAAAGTAAAATAACTGAATTTTTAAATTTTTAAAAAAGATTTTACGATAATTCAAGGGATTTTCCGATTTCAACTCAAATTTAAATCGTTATTAAATATAAAAACAAAATTTTTTAATAGATAAATATTGTTTTAACCAATTTTTTTACCAAAAATTATTTCATTTTTTGACAATTAATTTTAACATACTATATATTTTATTTTTTAATCATGTTTTTTAAAACTAGTCAAGAGGTTTACTAATTTTAATAAATGATGTGACATCTTTAATTTTCGTATCGTTTAAAAAACTATTTTGCACAATATAACAGGAACAGGTACATAAGCACAGATAGATAATGATTATTAATCCTATGGAAAACACTCCTATACAACTCAATATGTTGATAATAGCGCCATCTCTTTCTGTATGAGAAACTATTTTGTTTTTAGCGGCACCTGTGGAACAAATGGAAAAAAATTTTGTATTTTAAAAAAAAAATTTTTTTTTTTCAATGGTTTTTTTTCAATGGTTGTATTTTAAATAATTTCAAACGCTTATCTTTATTTTTGTTGGTTTTATATTACTTTTTTTTGGTTTTATATTACTAAATTTGCCTTACCATTTGTAACGCTAAGAAATAAAGGTTTGATCAGCATTGAAATTTGAATCAATTTACCTTTGTCTGTCCGTCCGTCCATCTGTCCGCCCGTCCCCACGGTAACTCAAAAACAAATTGAGCTAAGTTCACCAAATTTTTAGAAATGATTTATTATAGTAATTGCCAGACCCCTATTTAAATTGGTTATGATCGGGGTACTGGTTCAGGTACCTGCCATAGAACTTCAATATTTATTTGACTACCTCTTAGAAACTGTAAAAACTGTGGTATTGAAATGTCACACAAGCGAATATATTAGTATTTGAAAAATGTCGTTGAAATTGCTTGACTCCCCCTGGTAGCTGCAATACAACTTCAAAAGTTATTTGGCATTATCTCAGAAATTTTTGGAGTTATAATATAGAAATTTCGTGAAAGCAAGTGTATTATTAGAGCTGTTATGTGTAATAAAACTTCCTAACTCTTTGTGGTGGTAGCCATGCAACTTCAAAAGCAGTTTTACTATATCTTAGAAAATATTGAAAAAACAGTACTGAAATTGTGCATAAATTAATATGGTAATACGGCAACTTAAAGTCATAGTCTGTCCCATAGTCAGCTACGGCATATTTACCCGCCACATAGGACAACAAATTCGTACGCGGATGTCACAGAGTTGACACGGTTAACTCTATTTTTTTTACTTTTTTTATTAAACATACAAAATCAGAAAAAGAACATATCGGCATACATATGTATACACATAATATGCAGCAGATAACCTTTTTTTTCTGCCTCATTTTTATCTTGGATGCGCTTAAATGTATGTAAAGATATGATTAACGGTACACTTTTTGCATTATTATGAAATACAAAAAGAATTTTTCTTCCGACGCATCGCCAAGTTGTGTATAGCAGCACGTTTTAATTGCAGATGAAAAAACATAATAATGAAGTCTTTAAGTTGACCTAAGCAATCAAAACTTCTTTATTTCAAATAGTTTCTGTGTGAAGCTGGGTGAGAAAATATTTTGGTGAAAAATGCAAGTGTACAACTTTTCCTTTTGAACTTTTTTTTTTGTATTTTTGCTCTTGGTGCAAAGGACTGTAAATTTTTTGATTAATTAATTAAAAAAAAGTAAAAAGTGGTTGGTGTATTAGGGCCCTTTTACACGTATGCTCACATGAAAACTTTAACTTTCTGTTTAGATATTGGACTTATAATAGTTCTATCAATTAATTAAATATAATGGATAGGAATCTGGCCGAAAGTTATTCTTCATATTCAGTGTAATGCATACATACACACAGCCATATGTACTTATCGTACCCAATACCCACACGGTTTTGCATTGTTATTAAATTAAACTATGCTTACTCATAATTACATGCTTATATTACATAAGAAAACAAACGAATAAACGAAGAGCAATTAATTTTAATTGAATTAGAATGGAATTTATACCAAGCACAATTTAACAGAGAGTTTTATAGTGCTGCTATGGCTGTCTAATCCATATAATGAATATCGTTAATATTCTATTCATGGATATTTAAGTATGTAATATAATATGTCTGTAGAAATAAGACGTACGTTATGTAGGTACCTATTCAAAAAGATCATAAAAAACTGAACCAAATGGAAAAATTAACATATTATAATGAAGAAATTTTTATTTTTATAATTAATAAAGTGGATACATAGAATATACATATGTGTGTTTATGTACTATTATAGTAAATAAAAATACACAATTATCTTTATTCTTGACTTCAAAATAAATACAGTAATATCACATCAGGTAATAAGCTGGATTGCAATTACAGCTCATTGGTTGGATTGAAATATTGAAATTATGGAATTTTAGGGTTTTTCGTTTATGCATACTGCGCTGAAAGTTCTACATTAGAACTAAAATTTCTAAGTCGCAGCGTTAAACAGTACAATAGTAGTAATGAACGAAAAACCCCTGGAAATAACTTGCGATTTATCACCGTTCCATCAAACTCGCTTTATAGCATTAAAACAGTAGGTTTTCTTGAACTGTTCATGGGTAGCATTAAAACGGTAGGTTTTCTTAAAAGCAGTGATAATTAATTTACAGTACGTTCCGCTACAAGATTTTGAATTAATATTATTCAAATCATGAATTTTATTGAGACTTTACTGTGAAATATCTTGTTAACTGATCAAAAATAAATTTAAAATCAATAAAAGAATTTCTTTGTTTTCTATTTCAATAGCTTCTATTTTGCTTTTTGTAAAATTAAGCTCTTGCAACTACCATATACGGCATACATTATGTAAGATATTCTTTATATCCTACATACATACATATAATATGTATAGGCACTATCGTATGAGTAAATAAAGATACCAATTCTAAATTTTGTCTCTTGTCCATTAAAATTTAATTAATTTTTTGAAATTTGTTTTTATTTTCTTATGAAATTACTCATGCAGTAAAATATATAATACACAAACATAATAAAAAAGGAAATAAGAGCAGATTGCTAATATTTTATCCATTATGTAATTACATTAGTTCCAATTCAGTTACTGAAAGAGAATTTTGTTTTTGTATACAAAAAAAATAAAGGTGTGAGTGCGATCATATAAAAGTTATTATAAAAAATTTAATTTAAGAGAATTTATGAAATCTCTTAATAATATTTTATTGTTAATACTTTTGTGTTGGAAAAGCAGGTGAAGAGTAAACACATACATCTACCTGCATTAGTAAGAATTTATTTTCACAACACCAACCATTTAATAAAGGTAAAACACCTATGTAAATGGAAAAACACGTTAAACTTTGATAATAATTTAAAAAAAAAAAAAAAACTTGTTTTTTTCTTTTAAAATTATTTTAGTACAGTGAGATTAGCTCTCAGTGATGAGAAACAAAGCTTGTGTTCTTTATTATAAGAAAATAAAAGTAAAATTATTTTCTTAAAAATATTCTTAAAGGTACAAACGCATGCAAAGCGTACCTGGAATACAAATTTAATATTTGTAAACAATAATTAAAAAATATTAAAATTAGTTAAAAATCGTTTTAAAGAAATAAAAATAATTTTAAATTATAAACTGAAATAAAATAAAAAATTCAGAATTTTATTTAGAAAGACTAAAGCGTTTATTGGTGGAAAATTATTTAGTTAAAAGAAATTCAATTATAGCTTGCATAAACAATAAAAAAAAAGAGGAAAGAAAACAACTGAAAACGCCCATGTTTTGTGCTCAGATCACCGATTTTTAATTAAATGATAATATGGATCAATATAGCGCTGAAAAAGGATTAGCAATATTTTATCCATTAATTATATTATTGTCATTCATTTGTACAGGTACTAAATAATTTTATATTTTAAATAATTAATATTTATATACTTACATATATATATACCTACTTACTAAAGTACATATAAATAATTTATTGATATTTTAATCATCAAAATTATCAATATTTTATCTAGGTACTAGATTAAATTTATCAAAGGCTTTTTTTATTATAAAGTAGACATTGGTATATACAACATAAGTATGTATGGATGTACATATGTAAACAAAATAAGCATTTTTTTGGTTAACAGAGTGTTATGCATGTACATGCTTATTTACATCCATATGTATACTAAATATAACATAAAAATATTACATATAATGAAACTGAAATTTCAAAAGAATACATCTACTTCAATATTATCAAAATCATATTTATCCGATTACTAATATAATGCTTGTTTTTTTTTTTTTTAAGTTTGTTCAACTGTTTTATGGAATCATTGGAAATATGTTTTGGACTTATGCCCAGAAACTAATTGTGGTTGTTTCTTGTATGGTCGATCAACTTATTCTACATATGAAGGAGGTCATATAGCTTATTGTCATTTCGCTGCTTATGGAATGGTTTTTCCAATAATATTTTCATTAATCTTTGGATCCTATCATGTTTATCGAGTGTGTATGGGTAAAGGTAAACCACGGACTGGTACTGCAACTGTTAGACAAAGGTGAGAAATGATTAAATTGTATAATAAACGTTAAAAAAGTTTAAATGTGATTTATAATAATCAAGTTACACCTAAAGCTAATAGATTTTTTACCATTGTGATTTAAACAAAAATTATATTTCTATTAGCTTTTGTCGAACCTTTAGCTTTATATCGAACTTTGATAGCTGCCTATACATACTACAAAATGTGTTGTGATTATTGGAATTATTCAGTTAGTTGCTAATTTGTAATACTTCTTTACTTATTCTATTCCTCATTCAGTAAAATGTGCAATAATAATTAAGAAATTATGTCTATTTGTAATTTGATCAACTTTCATTCCCTAATTAACATAAAATTTTCAAATTTTTTTAATTATTCACGATATACGTTCATACATTGTATTTATGTATATACATACATATTACACATGAAACATCATAAATAAGTAGTTTTAAGAAAACTATAATTTTCAATTACAATTGCAGAAGTTGCGAGGTTGTTGTTGTAACAACAGAAGCTGAAATGTTATACAATGAAATTTCACCAAATTACTGGAAACCTGCTACTGTTGTTAGCTGTTTTATGTTACTTTATATGCTTGTTTATTCCTCAATTTATACGGATGGTTTCGAAACATCTTGTAAACAATATCGTGAAACAGTATTAAAACAGATACAAGGTTTTGGGAATATTGTGCCAGTTATTAAAGGCCGATTGTCCTGCGCCGCAATTTTTGATTTTATGGATTATTTAGAAAAGGAAATCGTTACTTGGGATAGAAGAAGATATGGACGAATAAATTCAGCAGCATGTTTTTACATTACGTTGGTAGGTGCTTGGATGATCGTTTTTTCATGGTTAATTATAACAGTTATTAATATAATTCAATTAAGACGAAGTCGCGCTCTTAGAGTTTAAATTAGATTTAGAATATATTTAACGTCTAATGTTAAGTGCATAAAATCCATGATCCATAATATTAAAATATTATGTTATTCATTGTTTTTTTTTTATCTTTCATTCTAAAATTGAGTCTATGAGAATTTTTGCAATTTTAAAATTAATGTTAATGTAATTTAATTTAGATAATAACTAAGACTTAGTTTTAAAAACCAGAAAAATATTGAAAAAATATATGGATATCCACACTCAATTACTTAGGGTGAACAATAATGAAATAATAATTTTATTAAAAAATTTTAATTTTGTTTTTCTTTTGATTAAATACAAAATGAATAATATACATAATTACAATTCTATTTCGAGTCAGTTTTTTGACTTTCTTTAATTTTTTCTTCTTCAAGAACAGTAGGTGGATGTTCTAAGACATGATCAATTAATCCTAAAGCTTTAGCTTCCTCAGGACTCATAAATGTATCACGTTCCATTTTTTCAGTTAATAGTTCAAAACTTTGCTTAGTGTGCTTTTCATAAATCTTAGTCAATTGTTTTTTAAGTTTAATTATTTCTTCAGCTTGAATTTGAATATCAGTGGCTTGCCCCTATAAATGTAAATTTTATTCTGTGCTTTGAAAGGGGCTATAAACGACCAACTTGATTTACAATTTTGCTATATTGGAAATTATAGTCTATGAAACAGTAAAGTTTTTTGTCAATGCAGAGTTGAACTTGTATATATATACATAACTTAATTTGTAATTAAACTGGTCATTTATAATGCCCTTTGAAAAATTTAGTCTACAGTGTTATATACATACATGTGCTCCTCCAGAGGGTTGATGTATCATGATTCTTGAATTTGGTAAAGAATAACGCATTCCTGCTGTTCCAGCTGCTAAGAGTAAGGAGCCCATTGATGAGGCTTGCCCAACACACCTGTTAGTAAAATAAATTTGCCATAAACTCGTAACTAATAAGATGCAAGGTTCTGTAGGTACATAGGTACTACATATGTATGTAACCATGTATTTTCTCTTGTAAGTAAAAAGTAATTTTGCTTACCATGTTGCTATTGGAGGTTTAACATATTGCATTGTATCATAGATAGCCAATCCTGCCGTTACAACTCCGCCAGGAGAATTGATATACATATGAATAGGTTTAGTTCCATTTTCAGACTAAAATATTTTATCAGTTTATTATAAATTAATTGTACAGATAAGTGTTTATGTATATACATATGTAAATACTAAACAACTTGCCTGTAAAAATAACAATTGCGCGACTACTAATGAACTCATGCCATCTTGAATTGGCCCCATAATACAAATAATTCTTTCTTTCAATAGTCTAGAAAATATATCATAGGCTCTTTCACCTCGACCGGTCTGTTCTATGACTATTGGTACCATTCCAAACAAATTAGGTCTAGTAGAGCTAAATTGTTTTTTACATTGTGATACCTAAAATGCTTGAATAACATACATATTATGTTTTTATATTTACATTACTTACAAATTTTTGGTTAAAATAATTTGATGTGGCTTTAAAAATTTTATTCATTTTGTATCTCTATATTTAATTATTTATCAACTATATTTCTTAAAGTAGGTACTAGGTTCTTCAAAAACTATTTGATAAATTTGTTTATTAATTTATTGTGACACGATGATAACTATGTCAAAATCAGCTGAGAAATTAAACTCCATCTAGCGTCTTTTTGTAAAAGCAAATGATGTGAAAAAATTTTTGTTTATATAAAAAAAAATTATTGAAAAATTGTTTTCCTGTTTTTGCATTGAATTATCCAAAAGATAAAAAATAATCTTATTTAAAAACACATAAAGCGTTTAATAGAAAAAAAACTTAATTATCTACCAAAGTACTAAACCCAACAGACTACAATAAAATATTTGGAAATGAGATTTATGGCTTACATAAGCGCATGGCTGAATTCACAACAGCAGTGACTGCATTTATATTACCTGCAGTGTGTACAATAATGCAAAAATCTGCATTTTTTATTGCCCGATTTAGGAATTGTGTGTAACTGCATATAAAACTACTGAAATTAAATTGGAAAGAAAATTTAATATTGATGAAATATAACAACATACACGGAAAGATTCTGTTAAACTATTTCAAGGATTATTAATGAACCGGTAATTAGAAAAGCAAGAAAAATCTGCTATCTGCAAACTTTCTGCACAGGAATAAGTTCACGTGCTCATTGAAGAAATTATTAAACTATACAATATTTATGCGGATATAACGTAAATTACGTACACTAATCAATATTTTCAGTTTGATTCCGTTTTTTTTATTACCTCCTAGAAATCGTTATTTAATCTTCATATAGGAGCCAGAATACTCGTTACCTATGCCATTTATCTTTTATTTAGCTTTATGTTTTTATGCTGTAGCTTCTCATATAGCCTATGCAAATACATATGTATTTCATATATTATGCTTTTCAGTCGATTACAACCACATTTTTTAAATTTACCACCAAAATAAGTAATTTAAACTAAAAAACAAACATTATTCGACTAATATGTATTTTATTTTAAGTTTAAACAAGTTTACAAATATTCAAAATTTAAAAATTTCTTATGCAGTTAATTTTCTTAATATTAATAATAAGTAATAATGCAACAAAATAAAAACATTTTATTATCGATATAACCCTTATATCATAATTAAAAATATAAAACATGTAATATGTATAAGATTTTTTGGCTTGGAAAAACTGTTATATGAATTCAAAATTCAGCACCACAATGTGTGCATCGTTTCTGTCGCATGAGCAAGCAAAATAGTATACCAATTGGAAAAAATAATATCGCACAAAGCCAACCAAGGCAAGGATAATCATTTTCTAAAATTCCAATACGACATGCTGGACAGCCACCAACAATAATAATTTCTGTTGGAATAGTTATTGCTGCAGTTGGATGTATACTTCCATAAGAAGGTACATATCCTTTAGCCAGTGGTGGTGGTGGAGCTGTTGGATTCGATTGTGGAATAGAATAACTTGATGGAATATCAGAAGGCTGATAATTTGGTAAATTTATACCAGGCTGATTTGTTCCGGTCTCATCTATAATTCAACAGGGTAGGAAGTCCAATATTCATAAATATATTTTTTATTATGTTATGCATAAATATATGTTATAGAATTCAAATAAAACAGAAATATTTTTGTACTTAAATTAATAAAATATTATGAATTCAAGTATTTAAATATTGATACTCACTTGCTGATGCGTTTGTTGTTGTTGTTTCATTAATAACAGCAAAATAAGACGGAGGTGGATCAGGATTTTGCATATTTTATAAATTGGAATTTTTCCGAATAAAAATTTAAAGTAATTGCGATATTTTTTTAAATTTTAAAACAAAGGTATTTCGAAACCTGCACAAATTTTAAAACAAGTTTATTTGATTAAGTACTACAGAGTAAAAACAGGGTGGATGACACTTAACAGAAAAACAAAAGTCACATTAAATTAAGGCCTTTGAAGATATTTATTTTGTTGAGCAGGGCTGCGCAGTGATGTGTTATCTAAAAATTGTGTCTTTAATTAATTTTTTTATTTGTTTGTTAAAGACACAAATGTGACAGCAAAAACAAATTGAATAAATTTTGTATACATTTTAGAAAAAAACAAGATACACAACACCAAATAATTCTTCCCATTCGAAAATTACATTACACAAATATATGATAGTTACTAACTTGCCGAGTAAAATAGCGAAAAAGAAGATCAGACCATTAGTCTGTAATTTGTAGAAGAAAAATATGTCAAGCAAAAATTTATTAATTCTGAAGCGACATTCAAAAACTTATATGATATTGTCAAACAGTTAATGGCAACTAACCACGGCTGACAGACATACGGATTTTTTGTAATATGAAGCAACTAACAGATAAATTTTTTATACATACATACATATTTACTAACTTATTGACATTTCTTTTCATTCGTATTTTTTAAACAATCCTATTTAAGATAAATTTTTAGCTATAAACATGTAAAACATGTGAAAATGAGTATTTTCACATTTTTTATTCAGAAAAAATTTGTATTGGACCGGTCTTAAACCAAAAAGCACAACTCACGAAAAAGAAAACTTCTAATGACTTGGAATAGCTTGAAATATTTTTATATTATGATTTTTTTTAATACTAAGGACCGACCAACTTTATATTTATTTTTCATATAATAACAAAAATTTATACTTGATTAAAAATGTATATGTACACTACTCAAATAGATTTTTCTGTAGAAACTGGGAGTTAGGAGTTTAACAGTAAGGGGTTGTATACTTAAGAGGAAGACAAATATGATTCTGATATGTAGATGACCGTAAAATTTAATACTATGTGACTTAAAAACACCCATACATAATTCAATCTCACAATCCATTTAGCTTTTCAAGTTCACTCAAAATTTAATTGCATGGTGATTGCAAATGTTTGTGTGGTTATTTGTATTAAATCATTTACCGTTATACAGTATTTGGTTTCTCTTTTTCTCTAGTTTCGTAGCTATGCTCAACAGTACAACAATATCGTGTTTTTGTCCATTATTTTGATAGATGTTTTCTGAAATCGAGTTTTGTTTTTGATTAAATAATATATTGGAGTAAAGCTTTAATATTTATTAATTTTATGTCCCATCTTTCAATCTACCTATCAAGTGACGTGGGGAGCAAGAAATTTGACATGACATCTTTTGCTTTGGCAATTAATGGAACGAAAATATTAGTAAAAAGTGATAAAAATTATATAAATTTTTTAATTTTACAATTTTTCCTTAAAAATTTTCACTCTTTATATTTTGAAAGTTTTAAACAATTGATTAAATATAGTGATTTTTTGGAATTATGTATGAAAAAGCCTTCTTAACTAAATTGTAATGACGAACTTTAATCGCAATAATTTTGGTACAGAAACATAAATAGTCGATAAGAGTAATAAATTAAATTAAAATTTTGGTATTATAAAAATTAAAATCTTTTCATAAATATTCTCTCGTCCTCACTTTTTATTTTATATAAAAAAAGTAAATTCGAATGTATTCAATCTGATGCAATAATGCTAAAAAATTCCTTAAAAACGAAAGAAATGTTTATAATACGTGCTTTAGAAAAAATTTTAGCTGACAAGGACATAAAACGTTCACATCATTCCCAATTAAAAAAGGCTTGTGATGCAGCATTAGAAGAAATAAAAAATGAGATTAAAGATGCTGCTACAAAAACTATTCAATCACCAATTTCACCTAATGGACAAATACCAGAAATTACACAGATATCAGCAGCTCTACCTCTTCCAAAAAATGATTCTGGAAATATAATTAATGCTGAAAAATATTTTTTGCCATTTGAGTTAGCATGTCAAAGTAAAACACCTAGAATAATTGTCACGGCCTTAGATTGTTTACAAAAACTAATTGCTTACGGTCATTTAACTGGAAACATACAAGATTCTTCGAATCCTGGAAAATTTCTAATTGATCGGATTGTAAATACAATATGTAACTGTTTTACGGGCCCGCAAACCGATGAAGGTGTTCAGTTACAAATAATTAAGGCTCTTTTAACAGTTGTAACATCACAACATGTGGAAGTTCACGAAGGCACAGTTCTTCAAGCTGTTCGTACCTGCTACGACATTTACTTGTCAAGTAAAAATTTGGTGAATCAAACAACAGCTCGAGCGACTTTAACACAAATGTTAAATGTGATTTTTACAAGAATGGAAAATCAAGCATTTGAAGTTAGCATTCATGTTCCTCAGCTAGCGAACGATGCGAATGGCAATAACACAATCAATGGAAGTGCAGATTCTTCTACTATTTCTTTATCTAATGAAGACAAGGAAGAATCTGTTGACGAAATTGCTCGAATTATATTGGAAGAAATTATTAACGGTAATACTTAGAGCCAATTTTAGAACCATGTTAAGTTGTTTAAAATTATTTTCAATTAAAACTATTTAAAATTGGCTAGGTTAAAGATTTGTTTTAATGTATTTGTTTTAATTTTAGCTGCGGTTTCGGCAATCGAATCAACCGAAGTATCAATTCATAATAATAATTCTACGATGAACAATATGACAAATAACAATGTTGTTAACAGCAATAATATAAATTCTAAAGAAGTTTCAAATAGTATTAATAATGATAAAAGTGAAAGCTCGAGTATTAATCGGGTACCTTCTCAAGAAAGTGTGGAAGTTCATAATGAAAATGATGCTATTGTTACTGCAAAATTTACACATGTACTTCAAAAGGATGCATTTTTAGTATTTCGAGCGCTCTGTAAGTTATCAATGAAGCCTTTACCAGATGGTCAACCCGATCCCAGGTCTCACGAGCTTCGATCGAAAGTTTTATCCCTACATTTACTTCTTTCTATTCTCCAAAACGCGGGGCCAGTTTTTAGATCAAATGAAATGTTTATCATGGCAATTAAGCAATATTTATGTGTTGCGTTATCAAAGAATGGAGTTAGCTCTGTGCCAGAAGTATTTGAACTTTCTTTGTCTATATTTGTGGCATTACTATCTAATTTCAAAATACATTTAAAACGACAAATTGAAGTGTTTTTCAAGGAGATTTTCCTTAATATTCTTGAAGCAACATCCAGCTCATTTGAACACAAATGGATGGTTATTCAAGCTTTGACACGAATATGTGCGGATGCACAATCCGTAGTTGATATTTATGTTAATTATGACTGTGATTTTTCGGCAGCAAATTTATTTGAAAGATTAGTAAACGACTTATCAAAAATAGCACAAGGACGGCAAGCTTTGGAATTAGGTGCGACACCAGCTCAAGAAAAATCAATGCGAATTCGAGGTTTAGAATGTTTAGTATCGATTTTAAAGTGCATGGTTGAATGGAGCAAAGATTTATATGTCAACCCTAATTTACAAACAAGTTTAGGTGAGCCACCAGCAACCGTTATTGAAAATTCAGTTGTAAAAAGTAGTCACTCGAATAATAATTTGAATGAAGCTAATAATGGAAACGACTACAGCATAAATTTAAAATCTGCCCATGGCGGTTCAAATCAATCCTTAAATTCTGTTGAAAGCTCACAAAACCGGGAAGTTCTTGATTTACCTGAGGCTTTAGAAGAGCGTAAAATGCGAAAGGAGGTTATGGAGACGGGTATAGAAATGTTTAACAGAAAACCCAAAAAGGGGGTCGCCTTTTTGCAGGAAAAAGAATTACTAGGTAATTGTAATACTACATAATTATGAGTGATATTTTTATTATTTTTTATCATTTTAGGTAAAAACGTTGAAGATGTCGCAGATTGGCTTCACAAAGAAGATCGATTGGATAAAACAATCATTGGTGACTATTTAGGGGAGAACGATGATCATTCAAAAGAAGTTATGTGCGCTTACATTGACGCGATGAATTTTTCCAATATGGAAATAGTGGGTGCATTACGATTTTTCCTTGAAGGGTTTAGACTCCCCGGTGAAGCACAAAAAATCGATCGATTGATGGAAAAATTTGCTAGCAGATATTGTGAATGCAATCCTAACAATAAATTATTTCAGAGTGCTGACACCGTTTACGTTTTAGCATTTTCAATAATTATGCTAACAACTGATTTGCACTCACCCCAAGTGAAAAATAAAATGACTAAGGAGCAATATATTAAACTGAATCGTGGCATAAGTGATAGTAAGGACCTCCCGGAAGAATACCTTTCTAATATTTACGATGAGATCGCAGGTCATGAAATTAAAATGAAAACCCCAGTTGCTTCAAAACCTGTAGGAAAACAAATAATTGTCAATGAAAAAAAAAGAAAATTTCTTTGGAATATGGAAATGGAGACAATTTCAGCAACGGCTAAAAATTTAATGGAGTCTGTTTCTCATGTAAAAGCTCCTTTTACGTCAGCCAAACACTTAGAACATGTGCGTCCGATGTTTAAAATGGCTTGGACTCCTTTTTTGGCAGCTTTTTCTGTGGGGTTGCAGGATTGTGATGATCCGGAAATAGCTAGTTTATGTTTAGATGGTAAAGTGACAAAATTGATTTCGAATTATTTTAAGTAAATTTGTATTTTGATTTGCTCGTAGGAATCCGATGCGCAGTTCGTATTGCATGCATATTTCATATGACTTTGGAACGAGATGCATATGTACAGGCCTTAGCACGCTTTACTTTGTTAACTGCTAACTCTCCAATGACCGAAATGAAAGCAAAGAACATTGACACAATAAAAACATTAATAATGGTTGCACATACAGATGGAAATTATTTAGGTACAAGTTGGCTGGATATTCTTAAGTGTATTAGCCAATTAGAATTGGCCCAATTGATAGGAACTGGAGTACGCCCTCAATATTTATCAGGAAATCCAACTTCAACTCTGAAGGATACGTTGGATCCCAGTGTAAAAGAACATATAGGGGAGACAAGCAGTCAAAGTGTAGTCGTTGCGGTGGATAGAATATTTACTGGTTCTATTCGATTAGATGGTGTAGCAATTGTTGATTTTGTTAAGGCTTTATGCCAAGTATCTTTAGATGAATTGAATAATTCACAACCACGTATGTTTTCCTTACAAAAAATTGTTGAAATTTCTTATTATAATATGGGTCGTATACGTTTACAATGGTCTCGAATATGGCAAGTTCTGGGCGATCATTTTAACAAGGTTGGGTGTAATCATAACGAGGAAATAGCATTTTTTGCTTTAGATTCCCTTCGCCAATTATCAATGAAATTTATTGAAAAAGGCGAGTTCACAAATTTCAGATTCCAAAAAGATTTTTTGCGGCCTTTTGAACACATTGTAAAAAATAATAATTCATCGGCTATTCGTGACATGGTTGTTAGATGTGTTGCTCAAATGGTTAATTCTCAGGCACATAATATCAAGTCTGGTTGGAAAAATATATTTTCGGTATTTCATTTAGCAGCAGGCGATAATGATGAACAAATAGTTGAACTGGCTTTCCAAACAACAGGAAAAATAATAATTGATTTGTACCAACGTCAATTTGCAATTATGATAGACTCATTTCAAGATGCAGTAAAATGTTTATCAGAATTTGCTTGCAATGCTAAATTTCCTGATACAAGTATGGAGGCTATAAGATTGGTAAGAACATGCGCTTTATGCGTGCATGAGTCCCCAAATCTTTTTGCAGAGCACGCAGGAATGGAAAATGATGTAGCAGTTTCAGAAGAAGATCGAGTTTGGGTAACTTAGAAGAAAATATTCTTGAAAATATGATATTTATTTTATACTAAAAATTTTAGGTGCGGGGGTGGTTTCCAATGTTATTCTCCCTTTCTTGCGTAGTTAATCGATGTAAACTGGATGTAAGAACCAGGGGTTTGACAGTTCTTTTCGAAATAATTAAAACGCATGGTGATGCATTTAGACCGCATTGGTGGCGTGATCTATTCAAAATTCTATTTCGTATATTTGATAATATGAAATTACCAGAACAACATACAGAGAAAGCTGAATGGATGACTACAACTTGCAATCATGCTTTATATGCCATAGTTGATGTTTTTTCTCAGTATTTTGATGTACTTGGACCTTTATTATTAGAAGATCTTTATGCTCAATTACATTGGTGTGTTCAACAAAATAACGAGCAACTTGCACGATCTGGCACAAATTGTTTAGAAAACTTGGTAATTTCCAACGGATTCAAATTTAACGATGATACTTGGAATAAGACATGTAAATGTATGTTAGATATTTTTGACTCCACATTACAACACGAATTGTTAACATGGAAACCTGATCCAAATGCAGCAAGTGCAAGACATCAAAGCCAGCAACATCACATAACAGAAAATGGGGAAATTCGTCATGGAATCTTAAAGCGATCAAATTCACAGCATTCTGTTTATAGTATAAATTCTGAAGATGGAAAAACTGAATTAACTACTCATGCTACAAATAGTATTTTTGCAAATTTATTGATAAAATGTGTTGTGCAATTAGAATTAATACAAACAATTGATAATATTGTTTTTTTTCCTGCAACTTCTAGAAAAGAAGATGCTGAAACATTAGCTTTAGCTGCAGCTGATTTAACCGGAAATAGTTTAAATAATGTCACCGAATGCCAACGTGAAGAACAAGGAATGTATAGTTATATAAAAACATATAATTTAGTTCAGTTAACAGAATGTTTATTACAATCGCATCGTTTTGCCAAAAAATTTAATTCAAATAACGAACAAAGAAATATTTTATGGAGGGCCGGATTTAAGGGAGCTGTTAAACCGAATTTATTGAAGCAAGAAACAACCTCCTTAGCGTGCGTTCTAAGAATTTTATTTAAAATGTACAGCGATGAGAATAGAAGAGATGACTGGAAAGAAATAGAATCAAAATTAATATCTGTATGTCGCGAAGCTCTAGAATATTTTTTAAGTTTACATAGTGAAGCACATCGCGACGCATGGACGTCCTTATTATTGTTAGTTTTAACGCGATTATTAAAAATGCCAGATGTTAGAGTAAGTTTAATTTGCAAATTATTTTAATATAGATTTTATATACATTATAATAAATATATAATTAAAAAAAAAATTATTTTTATGATTTTAGTTTGCATCACATGTATCAAGTTATTACACTTTACTATGTGAGATAATGTGCTTTGACTTAAAACCAGAACTAAGAAGTGTACTTAGACGTGTGTTTTTAAGAATTGGCCCTGTATTTAATATAACGAGTGCCACGTAGTTGCTGTAATTTAATTATCTACTTATATAATACTATTACTAATATAATATATAACATATAAATATATATATATATATATTGAAATATATACACGCAATTTAAATGTTTTCGATATATTTATATTATAATCTAAATTTTAAAAATTTCATTATTTAATAACTAATTAATCTAATATATAAAATACGAATAAAAATTAATAAAGAGTATGTTAACTCTGTCTGCAAATCAACTGTCCAAATAAGTAGTTTTTTCTATTACATACTAATATAATATTATATAAAATATAAAGGTATGCTATTTGTTATTTGATCAAAATATTTTAATTCATGTATTTATTAAATTTTTATTTTTATTCTTATTTGAGACAAAAACAAAATTATAAAAAAAAAATAATAAAAAACAAAATGAAAATGTTATAGTTTTATTATTATATGTTTGAAAAACAAAAAATTTCTTATAATGTAAAATTAGATTTTTATTAAAAATGTTTAATGTAAACGGTTAGGTGATTTAACGTTAATATTAATAATAAATAAAATTAAAATTATAAAACATAAGGAATAAAATAACAAAAAGAAATCAATTTGAATCACATCTAAAATAATTTATATAGTTAAAAAGACATTAAGAAAGAAGGAAATAAATTATAGCTATGTAAAATTAAAAAAAAAACAATAGAAAATAAATACATACATATTTACAAATTGTTGTAAATTATAAAACGAGTATCTGTAATAAAACTGCCAAAAGATTTTTATTTTATTAGCTTAATTTTAACAAAATCGTAAGTATACATTATTTTAGAATATATAAACAGCCTCGCAATCCTTAATTGACTTAGAATGCTATTCCAAAATACATACTTATGTTCCAAAAATTTGAAATGGATTGAATAAATAAAAAAAATTGTTTAGTCAAAACAATTATGGCTAACAATTTTTAAGTTATTCTAAATATGATGTTTGTTTTAAAGCAGAATGTAAGAAAAAATGTTTTTTTTTTTTTTTTAGATTTGGTTTGTTAATTATATCGCTCATTTGCTGCAACATTTAACATAATTTAAAAATACAATTTCTGAAATATTTGTATAGAAATAAGCGCTCAGAACGTTCCTTACTTATGCAAAAACACCATTTCTCTAGCATAAAAATTGCCGCCTACAACAGAATATGAAATAATGCTAATAGAACGAAAAAAATATATTAACACACAATAAATTTAAAATTCGTTTTTCTCAAATGTGCGAATTTTGAGTTATGTTAGTGTTGCGGCAAACATGCAATATAGCTTTGAATAAAACTGAATGAATATTGAGTAAATTTTAACTTGAGAGATCCACTTTACAAGTTTTTTTAATATTACTTCTGCTACATTGATAGATTGAGTTTGACAAAATGAATTTTTGAACTGTGAGTTACGTATATTAATTTGAGTTTTAGAAAGAGGTAATTTTTCACAAGAGTCAAATCTGTACCTTCAAAAGTCATTTACATAATTGGTAATGGTAAAAATATTGCATTGAAACGTACATACTAATGGGCCAAATTTTAAAAATACGTTTATATATTTAAATATGTAATTTGAATGTTTGATATGAGAATTCATCTAGATTAAACATATTAATTAACAATCAAAGAGTAGATTGTTTTTTCCAATACATATAGAAAATCTCATGTTTTTAATATGAGAACAGTTAATTATTTGATGCATAATTGCTAATCCTATTAAGTTTAAGAATTTTCGCTAAATTCAAAATTTCGCATTCTTTTAGTATTTTAGCTTTTAACAAAAAAATTGTAGAAATTTGTAAATTTTAAATATGATGTATTCTGTTCAAGGACCCAAAATGATTATAGAAACGCTATTGAAGGAGTAGGTATTTTTTCTTCTATTACTAAAAATTATATTAAATGAATAACGAATTAAATTTATATATGTATATGTATAAGATAAATTTATTCCACATTTTATTGTTTTTATCAATTTTTCGATTTTATGGAAAATTCAATAAAGTGGTCGGAATTAATTTTAGTTATTTAATAGTGTCTAAAATTTTAAATAAATATTTTCTTTAATACAATTTGGTCAATTTTTTCTTTTCATATAGTATCTTGCATTAAAATCGTATTCACGTTTATTTTTTTTTTAATATTAAATTCTAATATTATTTAATATATATATTTATTTATTTGTGATTAAAATTAATTAAATTAAAATGAATAATTTCTATATTTACAAAAATAAATATGAGCATGTAATTAAAAAAAAAAAATACAACAATTATGAATTAAATAAAATTAAAATAATATAATACGGGATTGTCTTATAAATCTTACGTTTTTTTTTTTTTTTGTTTTTGTTTCATGAAAAAAAAATATATTTATGTAATTTACAAATCTTTTCCTAATCTATCAATTTCATTAATGAAATGTAACATATCGGATTCATTTAAAACTGAATTTTGTAATACAAGTCTAAAGAAATTTGGTATTCCTTTAATTGATTGATATGTTACCATCATTGTCCCTTCTTTCATCATTGATTCTTTTATTTTTGGTGCAATTTTATGTAAATTTTCATTATATAATTGATCATTTTCTTTTCCTCTTAAACTTGGTGGTATATACCAAAATGATATATTTAAACATTCTGGTTCTTCTAAAACCAATTTAAATTGATTTGTTCGTGATTTTAATTCTTTTGTAAAGAATTCAGCCATTCTAAATAAATGTTCAACATGTTTAATAAGACCATCAGTACCTTTAGCACGCCACATAAACCAAAATTTTAATACATCAGCACGTCTACCACATTGTATATGCTTATCACCAGTATCATATTTAACATCATAAAATTTATCTTTTTGAAATAGGTAAGCAGCATTTGTTGAATGACATTCTGATAAAATATTTTTATGCCTTGTAAGGAATGTTGAACATTGTTGTGCTGATGATAACATTTTATGTGGATTCCATGTAACTGAATCAGCTCTAAGTAAAACGAAAAAGAAAAAAAATTTTTAATATCATTTATGATTAATATAGATAATTAAAATATTATAAATATAAAAATTTTGAACTATTGAATAATCTGTATTAATTGAAATCAGTATAAGTATAAATAACTATTTTGATGATTATTTTAAATTACAAAATTCAATAAATTTTTCAAATTTGGTCAAATATATAAAAAATATTTTTGAAAATTTCAATTATAATAATTATCCTTCCTGCTATAATATTATACATATTTGTATATGCACAACGAATTTTCTTATAAAACCTACTACTAAATTATTAAATTAAATTATAAAGTGAAAATATTGGTTGCTTAAGTGAAATTAAAACATTGGTTGGTTGAATACAGATCAGTCCCATATTAATTAACTCCAATTTTGGGTTAATACGATGTTATAGAGCGTTCGATTGGAAGTTGTCTTACTAAGCTAGTCAGTTTTTCACCTAGACGAATTGTCCTAAATTCCCAATATCCAATATTCGATATTCTGTTCAGCTTCGTAATGTTTGCTCAACCTGACGTGACTGACCCCGCTTAAAGTTGGGTGCCCTCTGTCTAATAGTGCAAAAGAATTTCTTTCCTGTTCATCCCCCGATGGCGTACAGCGACACGTTGTACTGAAGGACATTCAAGAATACTAGAATAGATACACACTAGATACACACTATCCGAAAAGCCAGCACTCTGTGTAGAGCGGCTACAGAATAATTAATTCTCTATTGTTAGGGAACTTTGATCATGTAGAATTTTAAAGTTTAGTTTACATTTAAATTTTCAATTTAATTGATAAAATATCTAATATCTTTCAAGACTCTTATGCATATGCTAACTTATTCAATTTTTTCACTACCCTAAGCTATAAAAATAAATATGTAAATGAAATAAAATGAAGATTTAAAAGAGAAATAGGTATATATATATGTAATAACTAATAAATAATTTTTTCGTAAAACTTAATTTAAAATTCCAAATATTTTGCAACATTCTTACAAGTTTTATATTTTTACTAATATTGTACAGGTTTTTTCTCTTACATAAATTATTTTTAACGCTATTATACAATTTTCTGTGTGTTCACGGAATAAAAATTTATGCATTGCCTGAAGCCGTTATTATATTTTAATTTATTACATTCATGTATGTATATATATACATGTACTTATGTATATATATGCATGTATGTATAAATTTTAAAGAAATTCTCAATTGACAATTAAATCATTTGTCAAATGATATTTTCATTTGGTGTCAAAAAAAATTTTTATGTTTTTTTTTTTGCATTTAAATTATTTGAATAAAATAATTGGTAAAAAAATTTAATAGTCAGCTGATGGAATTATTCTTATATTAATCCATAATTTAAAAAAAATATATTTGGAATTTATACATACATATGTATATGTTAATGTACATGCATATATGTATACATATGAGTACCTATATGAATATTATTTGGTATTGGAATTTAGTAAATAAGGAAAAAAATTAGTTTTAATTATGGTAAGTACCATTTTTTTTTCTTAAAGTGTTAAAATCAAAATAATAAAACTAAAAAGTGAATTATAACTTTTAATTTAATTTTTAATTTTTTGATTGGTTTCCTTTGTTTTTTCATCACAACTTAACTCCATTAACATAGCAGTATAATATTAAAACTGCTATATTCAATTATGGTTCGGATCAATAAAATAATATTATATGTGTTTTATTGTATGTTGTTAAATCAATATGCAATAGTATGGTAAAAATCTACTGACAGCCTTGAGTATATTCATGTATGTATACATATGTTATTGCAACATATAAATTATTGTTAATAATTTTATTATTAATTTTTGTATTTTTTTTTTCGTTCAATTATACAATGTAATAATAATATTGTGTAATAAATTTTGTTCTTAATTAATTTAGTATATTGTTATAAAATTAAAATTTTTACTTATAATTATATAATTATGATCACTGAGATATATGATAATAAAATGTGGTGAAATAAATTAATAATTTATTATTTTAATAAGTTTAAATAATAAGAAATTGAAAAAGAGTGTTGACATATGAGGTCAATATATTGATCAATTGAAATATCTACAGTCAATATTTCATCAAATATAGTCAATCATATTTGAATGTGTTCGATCAATAATTTTTAATTAATATTAATTTAAAATTTGTAATTAGTTTTTATTAATTAATAATTTATGTGTTATATACGAATAATATTGTTTAATACTATAATTATTTTAATAATAACAGTATATAAGAAAAAAAATGCTACTAATAATTATAATTATAATTAAAATGAATTCAATCTGTAAACTTACTGGCAATTATTTGAATCTTAGCAATATTATCCATAAATAATTGCATAAATTTTATGATTTCTAATTGAATTTTTGATTTAAATTAAATTATAAAGCATAAATTGAGATTAGATTTTTCAGTGGTGTTATAGCAATTGTTACATTTCTTTTTAGAAAATCAAGTTTATACGAGTATATCAATTTTAATAATATTTCTCTATAAAAGAAATCTATTAACAGTCTAACTAACAAATTTCGTACAAAAATATTTCATGTTTCAAATATTCATTTTTTTTCTAACCAATTGAATTTTCATGCTCAACAAACCATTTTGTGTTTGACAAAAAATTTAAAAAATTCTTTGTCAAACAAAAACAGATTCCAAAATTAAATGTGTTTCAAAATTATCAATTACTTACATATATGTATGTATGTATTTAATTAATATATAACATTTTTTATATAAAAATTGTATACTTACTTTTCAACACCTTTTAATAAATGACGATATTTTTGTGATAATAATGCACCACCACCCCATGCTGCATCAACATGAAACCACATATTATTTTTAATACAAATTTCAGATATCTCTTCAATTGGATCATATGCTCCAAAAACTGTTGTACCAGCTGTTGCAACAACTAATAATGGTATACCGCCTTCATTTTTTGTTCTTTCAATTTCTTCATTCAAATGATCTATACGCATTTTACCTCTTTGATCAGTTTTTATTTTATAAACATTATCAATACCAATTCCCATAAATGATGATAATTTTGCAATTGAATAATGTGAATCTTCTGATGTATAAACAACTAATCTTGGTAAACCAGAAAGTCCTTTTGTCTACAAAAACAAAAAATAGCATAAACATTTTTACATTTGTTTATTATTATATTATTGTAGTAATTGTTATACATAATAATGCAATTATGTATATAAGAGAATATTTTATAATATTACATTCCACTTTGTATGACGCGATGATATAAAATAAAATTAAATTTCTTTAAATATTTAAATTTACATATAAAATATTATACATAGATTTTATTCTATATTGTTATACTTAAAATAAGTGTGCATTGTTGAAACGCTTAAGTTGCTAAATAGAATTTATGCCAAAAAAATTACGTTATAAGTATATATTTAATTTATTTTCATGTACTCGTATAAGGTACATTGCATTGTAAAATTCAAGATCAAGTTCAAAATTTGGTAATACATATGTATATAGGTGTATAATTGGCGTATTAAATTAGAATTGGAATATTATGACTACATATAGAAAATAAATATAACTTTTAATTATATATGTATGTGAGTATTTTATAAAAATTTCAAGTGACATAAAGAAAACCGTTCATTCATTAAATTAAAATGAACCGAAATGTAAAGAAGAATATTCTATTTTAATATTTTTTAAATACATGTATAAATAAAATTTTAGATTAACTATGTTTAATGAGATTATGTAAATAAATCATTTTAACTATAAGTATATAGTATATAAATTACAATTTTTAAGGTCATTTCAATATGATAAAAAATATATATGTAATTAAAATTGCATTTATTGTAATATTCAATTTTGGATTAAATATTATGTAAAATTTGTATATTTAATCGAAAAATATATAGATTTTAATTATTAACTTTAATAAATAATTGACAAAATATTGAATTATTAATTTGAATCTTATTTTTTTTTATTTCGTACTTACTTTAATTTCTGGCATATATTTATATCTTGCACAACTAATAGCATAACCATTTGCAATTGAACCACCAGGACAAAATATACCATCACCATTATTATCATCATCATTATTATATTTTGGAAAACCAACAATATTTCTCATTTCTTTTAATACCATTTCTTCCATTAATATAAATACTGGTGATACTTCATATGTATAAACACTTGGATTTAATGCATCTGTTAACCATTGTCCAATTAATGCATATGGATCAAGTGATGAATATAATTGATTTATAAAATATGGATGACCAGCTTTAACTGAATATTTAATTGTTTTACGTATTAATTCAATGAGATTTTCATCAGAGTCAAATTTATCATTTAATTTCATATCAAAAATTTTATTTAATTCATTTGGATCATGCCATTCTAATACTTTTGAATTACGTTGTGTTGAATCAAATACAGCATTATTAATTATTTCATCAATTGAATCACGTATAAATTTTTCATGTTTTAAACGATTTGGATGACTACACCATCTTGGAATATTATTATCATCATTATTATTATTTGTATTAAAATTTTTATTGTTATTATTATTATTATTAAAACCATTCATTTTTGTATTATTATTATTATAAATTTTATTATTAATATCTTTTGTTTCACTCAAATTATGAGTACCGTTATTTTTATTTTTATATTTTATTTTATCGTTTAATATTGATGAGAAATTTTTATTATTATTATTAAAATTATATACTGTTGTTTTATTTAAATTTTCATCATCAGATGTTATAGGTGAATCGATACCACTTGATGAATTTTCCGATAAATCATATGAATTCGATGAAACAGCTAAAGACGACGATGATGTTAGTAGCTTCGTTGTCGATAAGTTATTTTGTTGAAGAATTTCATTTTCTAAATTCAATACGCCGTTGGCAGGCATTTTGTTTTATTTGATTTTTTATTTTTTCTTTTCCTTTTTGATGTTATATATATATATATTTTCTTATTATATAGTTTTTATTTTTAATTAATTAATTATTTTTAATTTCTTTTGTAATTTATATATTATAAAATGTATTATAGATTTTAATTTCTGAGTGTGTGAATGTTTAATATATTAAAAAAATTAAGATTATTTTTTAAGGTAAATTACTCGACTTCGAATAATTTATAATATTTAATTTTTTTTTTGTTTTTTAATAAAATTATTTTTAAAATTTTAATATTTAAGTTTATATTTCGATTTTAATTTAATTCGTTAACTTTTCTGTATTTTTAGAAATATCAAAAGTTACTTGAATAAAATTTTAATTTTATTTTAATTTTTGTGCACTAATTACTTTTATATTATATATTAAATTAAATTTTATTATTATTAAATAACAAAAACACAACAATAAAATAAATATATAAAATTATGTGATTTGTTTTTTATATTTTCAATAAATTACTTTTAAAAAATTTAACAATTTATTTTAAAATATTTAATTTTTTAAAAAAGAAGAAAAAAATTTTTTTTCTTCTCTGTTTCTTTTTTTTTACTGTCCAGTTAGCAATTAACACTCAAACTGATCGGTTTTGAGTCATTTTACTGGCTTTTATATATTAATCCAAACTCGAGATTTTTTTTCTATGTTTTTGTTTTTCGTTAATATTTGTGTAGCATCGTTGTGTAGTAGTGAAGTAGTATTGCATACAATATAATATTATAGAGAATGCTTTTTTTCTGTTCTATATTACAATTTATTTTATTCTATGACTTATAAAGTATATGAAATTTTTGATTTAATTTTTTAATATAACAATAATAAATAGCAATAATAATATTTTATAATAATTGGGTAATTACAATAAAAATTCTAAATAGATACTAAAAAAATTGATTAGAACAAGACATGAAATTAAATTGATTTATACAATATGTATATACATATATCGTGTAACAGAACAGTAGCCGGTAGCTGTTTAACATTAACAGATTTTATTTAAATTTTATACATTATTTTAAGATCTCTTAACATTTTTATTGTTTATTATTGTGAATAGTTTTACATCCAACAATAATAATACTTAAAAATAGAATAATAAAGGAACAAAAAAAAATATAGAATAATAAAAAAATTTGTGATGCAGATTATGTTTAGTGCTTAAATATATTTATCTATGTGTGTACGTACAAAATAATACGATATTAATGGTGTATTTAATCGATTATTAAAATATCGAAGGATATTTAATTATAGTTATTTAAATTAAATATATATGTAGGTATTTGATTATACATTTTATTGTTCAATTAAAATTGTATAATTTAAAAATAAAAAAAAATATTTTTAAATATTTGAAGGAAATAAAATATTGATAAAATGTATAATTTATATTTTAAATTTCCGTGTGACATATTAAGAATTAAAAAAATAAAATTTAACCTATAATTATTATATTAAAAAAATAATAAAATTTTTTAAAAAACATCAAAATGTACAAATGATTTTCTCAACATTAAACAGGAAGAAATTTAAATAATGATGCTACAAAGTTTTGTAAAATCGATCATTAAAGACAATGAAATTAATTACACTTATTTTTTTTTTTTTAAGAATTTTCTCCAATAATGTGAAACAAAAATTTATAAACATATGTATAATTAATGCACAATATTAAAATAATTTAAATTTAAATTATTTTAATAAAATCTAAACACCAATTAAAATTTATTAAACATAAAATTGATTTAACACAAAATTTTGCTACATTGTTATTTAATTGAACTTGAAGAATTTATTAAATTATTTTTTTAAAATATTTACAATATTGTAAATTAAATAACAGTTTCATGTAAATTTTTTGAAAATGTAAATTGTAGATTGCAAAAAATGGGTAACAGTGCACCGCGAACCTGATGAATTCGAGCAACTTTGAAGGGTCGGTATACCGCAGCTCCGCCGGCGTAAGCACGCGGTTCTCCAGTACCTCCCTTCTCATAATTCCCCAACACCTTCTCCCTTCGCTATTATTTTAAAAGTTATAATTATTTTGAAAATGTAAAAGTTTTAGCTATATGCTTCTTATCTACAAGTTCTTAAATTTGTGGAATTAATGTAAAATATTCTTTGAAATATTATTGTAGATGTCAAACACAAGTCAATAAATATATTTAATAAAAAAAATATTTTTTAATTCCATTTATGTTAATTACATTTTATGTTATTGTTAGATTATGTTTGTTATAATTTTTCTGATAAATATTAAATAATTACAATAATTAACAATGTAATATTAGTGGAATTGTAATAGGTCAACTGGAAATTAAAATAACTATTTAGTGAATTTTAAAAATTCGACAATTTTAATTTATTATCTAGGTAATTAATGTATATATGTACATACATATTTGACTCGATTTTGTGAACTGTTAAAGAAAGGGAATTAAAAAATGTGAAAAAGCTTCTTATAACTACATAATATGCATATTTAAATACCTGTCCAGAAAGAAAAACCTGTTAATTGAAAAGGTTTAATAAGCGAATTGATAATAGAATATATGTAAATTATGTTATATGCATGTATGTATGTATGTATATATGCACAATCTATGTATAATGACTATGTATTCTTGTAACAATTTAAAAATTTCAGTATTAGAAAGAAGAAATTTCATTTTTGTATACTTTTGTAGCAGTACGTAATATAATTTTCTATTTGCATGATGGAATAAATTTTATTTTTATAAAACTCCGTTTACTACATATTAGCTTTAATATTCAATAATGTTGTGTTTCTTTACTTTTTCCTAATAATTCTTGAAGTCTTATTTAAAACGGAAGTTTTATTTAGTCACACTTTTCTTATACTTTTTCTTAATACCATATAAAGTTTTGCTATATTTAAATCAACGCGACATGTGGCATAGGTGTTAACGTAGCTTTATTTACCCGGTTGGCAATTTTGTATATTCATATTTTTTTCCAATTATAAATCTAAAAAGCAGTTTCATTATGTGCCCTCACTATAACATTTTAACTGTAGAACCATTTCATTAATTAATTATAAATTAATTATAATAACACTTTATTATTAAAAAAATAAGGCAAGATCATAAGTAGGTTTCCATATAATTATAACCCATTCAATTCTAACTGAAAATACTTGCGGATATCCTAAATTTGGTGAATTTTACTTTATTTTTTTCATTTTATTTCCACTTTTATTTATTTCTCATATAATATTTAAAAAATTCAATCGTAAAACATGATTTACATAATTAGTTTTTGTTGTTATATTTACTAAAATGAGAAATTTCCTTTATTAATTGCTTAAAACAGTTATTCATAAAATAATAAACTCATGTAGTTACCAATCGCAGGTATTTAAAGAAGTATTCAATCGAGTGTATGCATTTTAAGAGTATGTAAAAGAATATTCATTTTATGTATGTAAGTTCAACATACAAGTATAATATTCAATATATGTGATGTAGATTTAAATAATTTTGGATTTTATTTTTATTTCCTTTTTAAAGAAAAATTATAAGTAGAATAGTGTTATTTACCTGCATTATTTTACCGACCCTATTGCATATAACAAGGAAGGTATTGATGGTGGCAAAAATTTTCGTATGTTTCGTTTTCATCATAAGACTATTTCTTTATGCTCTGGATATCTGACTGTAGGTACATCCCGAAATCACCCATATTTTTACAGAACTATAATTTTTTTTTAATTAGTATTAACTCATTCCTTGAGTGAGCCTTTACAATGAGATCACTTCAGCCATTTCACAGATCAGTCAACTTTTGGGGTATGTCAGATCTCACAAACTGAACCTTTACTATATATAGATTGGTTTTTTTGGCCATTATTAAGAAATTATATTGAAGATATATTGAAATTGAAGAGAAAATTTGAAGAGATTTCAAATTTTATATATAATCCCCTTAAGTGAATACGACAGCAACTATGTTACCGAATTTAAAGCTTTACTATTTATGGAGGAATATTTAACAATATTTCCTTGAAATTTAATATACCTCAACCTTGCTTGTTAGAACAATGAATTAACAAATCATTCGCCGATATCAAAGCTAAAAGACCGGATTTGCAGTATAGAAAACACAAAATATTCAGGTATACTAACACCGAACGTACAAGTATTTTATGTTCTTATAAACCTAATAAGAACATATTTATTGAAATATTATTCAGAGAAAACGCTCAATGGGGTCGGTTTTTTTTTCAGACCACATCCGTTTTTTTTAGTTAATTAATTAATATGTCAAAAAAAATATATTAACTGTCATTCATATGAGCCGTTAATTTTTGAATTATAAAACAGTAATTTTAATGAATAATTTTTTTTTTTTCAAGGAAATAAATTTTATTATTTTAATTAATTAAATTAAATTAAAGTAATAAATATTGTTCTATGTAGGTATATATATATACATATTATATGTAGTTTAATTCACAAAACATTGATGATAACTTTTCAAATTAAATTATTTTCATTGAATGAAGGTTTTAAATTTAAAGTTCATTATTAAACGCATATAATATATATGTATACTTATACTTGTATGTATATCTGTGTATTATGTACGATATGAAAAATAATACGTCTAAAGTAAATGTAAATATTTTCTGATATAATTATAATATTATCGCGTAATTGGATTTTTTAATAAGAACACCGAATATTATTTAACAGTAATATATAATTTCAGAAATCAATTAGCGTGAAAATAAGATGAAAATTCATTAAAAAATTAATAATATTAAATAGAATTAAAAAGAAAAAATCGTAAATAATTGAAAATTACTATTAAATATTTTATTATTAAAATTTATTGAATTAAATCAAAAATTTTAGAAATATTCTTTATAACTATACTAAATGCCAAATTAAGAGGCTTACAATGTACACATGTCACGCGTAGCGTAACGTTTTTTACAGTTATTGTAAAGGTAAATTAAAATATAATCAAGCATCACGTTGCAAAAACTATTTCCAGAATTAAAAAAAAAAATTAAATTGTACTTTAATTATTATGATTCAATATTTAATTTACAAATGATTATAATTTATAAAAAAATAAAATTCTTCTTTGAATTTAATTTAATAATAAAATTTATTTGTACGCATATTAGAAAATTCGTTTTACAGATGAAAATAACATTGAAGAATTGAATGGACATTGTTTTCTTGGAAAATTAATGATGGTTTAAAAGGGAATTCTGAAGAAGAAATATTCAATTTTTATTCGCAAATTTATATTATACATATATAATAACAGAAATTGCTATATAAATTTTATAATAATTTTCAATAATTTGTTTATTGAATTTTTCCAAATTTTTTGTTTACTAATTTTTTCTAAATTTTCCATGCAAAATTAAATAGAAAAAATAAATTTGTAATCTAATACTGTTATTATTGTTAATTTATTGCGATATTATTTTGAAAAGAATTGTTATATTAATTAATTTTACACATAATTATATTATATTATAAAAATAAATACAATTCCTATAATATTATAAAAAACATTAAAGAATTTACGAAAAATAGAACATCTT